AAAAAAAAAAAAAAAAAAAAAAAAAAAAAAAAAAAGAGCCTATGAAATGCTACTGCCGTTGAATAGATATTAAGACTAATTTTTGTTACATAGATAAAGTTTTTGTACAGGTAATAGGGTTTTTTAAATAGTCAGTTCCCTTTTTTTCAAATAGTTAGGTTTTTTTTTTGAGTAGTGGGGGTTTTTTTAAGCTATAAGTTTCTTTTATGTAAAATAGCAGCATGCTGAAGCCACAAAGTTTCTGGTTTCAGACGACCCCTTAATTATTGGTACCTTCTGATACCTGACGTCTTCCATTGTTGTAGTTGTCTGGCAGGCGACATCCCAGGCTATACAGTTCTACCAAGGAACATCACATTGCGGCTTCTCCATTCGCTTTATTTTCCTTTCTAGACGCAGAAAGTTCAATCCTTTCAGTCTTCTCTTCCTTCTACTAATAAATTAGTTAGACATAGGCTATATTTCTACTTTTTCTCTCGTCATTACTTCCAGTTTTAGTTCAGATTTCGCTACTTTTCACTAGTATTTTTTAAAGTTTTCTTAGCTACTAAAGCTAATGTATTTTTTCCTCCTGCCACTTCATAACCGTCTTTCTCAACTACCTTTAATTCATTTTTTCTCCTTTTTACAATTTCTTAAGGTACTTTGAATGCAGATCACAGTGAAGATTACAGTAAACAGAAAAAAAACTAAGGTACATGGACATTTAATGTAATTACGGCAGTAAACTATTAAAAAGTATGAGTAATAAATTGAAATCACTCTCAAATTTTGGCTAAAATCTCGGCCGAAAATGGAAGTTTGAACGTGAAATCGCAAACAGAAACAGATAAAACCTTAACAAACGAAATAAAGCGACATCATCTACTCTAGTCACTTAGAAGTTTAGCATACTTCTACGGAGTTCAACCGGGTGATCTTCGGAGCTCTCCGCATTACACAGTGGCGTTGTGTCAAAGCTGCTGGAATTTAGCCACAATAAACGATATTTCGCTATCAAAAAATTTCACACCAAACTGGAAATAAATCGCTCTATATTTGCTTGTGATAGTTCAATTGCATAACAATTAAATATCTAGCTGTAGTTTAAACAATCTGCAAACAGATGTTGCTGGCAACATTCCAACTGCGGTTTTGGGAAGATGCTTCAAATTTTGGTTGGGTACCTGAATTCTAGTTTTATATATTCTTCCGGTTTTTGGAGACTTTGGCTTTACAGCTTTGGCCACATTTTTTGGCGAAGTGTTATTTATCCTGGTAACATGTTTTTTTAGCAAACAGTTCACTTGTTTTAGGAAAAACCAGCTTGTTTACTTAACATTCTGACTTATCAAACGTTCAAGGCAGCTTAAATGTTACCAAATCTAGGTTCATTGCTAACTCCTTCTGGAGTAGAAGGTCGTACTTGGCATCCTGTTAACAGCTGCCTTAGCCAATCTGCGATGATAATGCGTCAGATGACTCAAAGCCGTTATCGTTGACTAGCACTTGGCTTCACATTAGGAGAGGATGGGCTTCAGGCTTTTTAGGAATTGGCACAAATAGCGGTCCACTTTTTCGATTGAAGGGAAGCAGTTCAGTTAAACGTCAAGTTCCACCCAGATCGGGACTGCCTACAATGGCAGTTGTGAATTTTACAATTTTCCTGATGCCTGATATAAGTATGCTGCAGTTTGAGATGATGTGTTTGATCTTAAACTTTTTTTTTTCTGATAGAAGGGAGTGTAAATGTAATGTCATCTGTTGATTAGTCATCTGGAAGGTGAAAGTATATCACGCTGTAGCGGCGAAAATCGGGATTTGGAAACACCTAGGGGAGCTTAAAAATCTGGTTTGCTTAACTATATTTTTCGTGTCTTTGGGATTTGGACTAGCATTAAGATTATTCAAAATAAGATTTTTTTTCATTTTTTTTACATTTTTACTTTTCAGATTTATTACATTAGTTAAAAGGGGAAACTGTGTTATAAGAGCGTTTTCATTACTACAGAAGAGTTTGCAGAATAAAGGATGTTAGTTCAGTTACAAGAACTGCATTTATTGAGCGGGGGCATAATTGGGAAGTTATCGTTCATTAAAAAGTTTTTTCAAAGCTGGTGGAAAAATTTTAAAAGATTTTGCTATCACCTAATAGGTCTACTGCTATATGGAAGCTTTGCTGTGATGTATCAATTGTATAATTTTTTGTTCAGTATTAGAACCTAGTTGTGGTAGAGTGTGTTAAAGGTAGGATGTTTGCACAGTCAAGTGAAATCGTGTGCAAATTAACAAACTGTTTGAATCACTCTTTTGTGTCTTGCTTATTTTCCTTCGTTTAATGAAAGAGATAATATTACTGCACTTTGAACTTTAAGATTATTCCTGTTCATTATGCAGTCCGGCGTTTATTAGTTTTTCCTCACTTTTGGCATTTTCAAGTTTATTTTTCAGAAATGTTATTTTATCGTTATATTACACGTGGATATTGCAATTGTTTTAAATTTTTGATTGGAAATCACCGTAAGGTCATTTGCGAATTTGCTAAAAATATTCAGTCTTTTACTCTTGTTGTTCTCGCAGATTCTGTGCCAAAAGTTGGGTCGTAAAATTAAATAGAAAGCGAGCGGCTCATTGTTTTTGTCACAGATCGGTTCAGAACTGACCCATTATTGAGTTTATAACGGCTGTTTTTTAGGATTGCATCAAATGCTTTTATTTTGCTGATTTAGACATATTTGGCCAATAGTTCTCATAAGTCTCTATTCTGTCGAACTTGTACGGTTTTATTATTTATAATCAAAATTCTTGGTTGTGTTTTGGATGAACTAGATATTACGTTATCTGGTGTATCTTTCTTAAAACTTCGTTTATGCTACTGAGACCTCACCATCTTTTATTCTAGGTTTAAAATGATGTATCCTGGAGGCTTTTTGCGTGATCAAGAGTCAGCAGAGGAAGTAAGACGCATGGCTGCTTTAGCAACCAAGAAAGATTTAACAGCATTCATTTTCTTTGGTGTGGCTATTGAAATTGGTTAGTTAAAGTTGTTAGACTCAGACAGTCGTTAATAATTCTTTGAAGTTTTTGAAACTTTAATAAAATGTATTCTTTCAGTTGCGTACGGCTGTGTGTACTTTGGAAAAGCAGGATCTATACTTGTTTAGTGGGAGTGCTTCTTGAAATTGGAGTCATATTTTAAAAACTTATTAGCATAGATCAGTAGCGTTTCAGGGTATTCAATTCATTCTATTGTGGCCACTGTCACGGAATAATGCTTATTAGAGGATCTCGTTCTCACTGCTTATTGTGATCCATCGTTGAATACTTCCGCAACCTTTCAATAATGTGCTCAAAATAAATATTTGTGTTTGGATTTGTCCAGCTTCGCACTTAAGTTACTATTTTTGCCTTCGGTTCGTAAAAAGTTCTCTGCATTATTAGTCTTAAGTGCCGAGGTCAATGTTTGAAGTTAAAAGTACCATTGACTAAGAAGGTTTTGGAGCTAAGTTATATTTTCTGAGGGGTACTTGTCGACATTGGTCGATACGGCTGTCGTGCTGAATATGTCGCTTCTTATTTTTTTCCTCTCTTGATTGGCAGTGTTATTAACACTAGTCATTCATAATGAATTGTCAAATTGACGCCAATGCGAGTAGTTGACTCATATTTTGGGTTGGCAAACGGCTTTGTTTGTCTGCACCTTACTCCCTGTAAATAGAAAAAATTCACAAGGTTTTATCAGAAATGGTTTTTCGTCATCTGATGTTTTATTAAGAAAATAGTAAAGCACACAAGCGGCGACACATTGTAAACTGATGTCAGCCGTTGCTGGGACAAGCTTAGTCATGGTCACTTGCGGGTCTGCTGAAATAGCGAAGGAAACTTCAAGACAGAACAGAAATTACTATTAAGTGTTACTAATTCTTGAAGTGGGACCTCGAGAGCACGTTATTGGGAAACCGGATTTTCGAACGGAATTAGGAGTGATTTAGGAGTGAACACCCAGTTTTTTCAATTCGTAAGCCTAAATGTCGGCGGTATCAAATGTAATCTTTTACTGCAACACAGTGCTGTTTTGGCAGAATGAAGGGACGTTTGTTTTTCTAGATTTGTGATTTTGATGTGTCCGGAATTGTTGGCTAAAAACCCGTGTATTTTGTATACACAAATGATTATGCGTCAACGATGACAGTGCTCAGTTTTGGTAGGTTAGGTGACTAAAAGTTCAAGAACAATCCAGACAGACTAAAATTTTTTGAAACAAGTAGAAATGGTAGATCAGTGATCACTTAAATACTGCAAAAGAAAAAAAAATGATAATAATAGTATGATGTGAAACAGCGGAAATTAGTAAAACCAAAATTTCAACCATTTTTAGTGCTTTTTTTTTGCAATTGTTGTTTCTTTGCTGTTTTACGCACCTATATGTACCCTAAAAATCAGAAATCTTCATAAATATACCTTTGTTTTTATTTTTACTATTTTTGTTGCTGTTCAGAATTGCTACTGTTGGTGTCACCGACGATGTAGAGGATGATGACGATGATGATGATGATGATGATGACGGTGACCTTGAAAGTTGCTATGTTTTTATGGGGAAAAAAGCATTTCTGTACCCCCAAACACACAAATCAATGATGGTCTTATAGCACATGGGAGACAAAATTTAAAAAAAAAGCGAAAGGAGAATCAAGTGAAAA